TTTTTTCCAGTTTTGTGAGGAAGGAGATTGCCTCTCACTTTTGAAGGAGACAGGTGCTTGGATAGCAGATCAAGTTGTACCTTTTATTCAATCAAGTGATCAAGAGGATGGTATTTCAAAACACAGTAATGTTTCTGAATTAATTATCCAGGTTAGAGGATTCTTATAACATAAATCAAATGGCTGCCAATCTGAAAAGCCACAAGTGTAGCAATTCATGTGCTGACAAACAGGGCACTGGCATTTGTGGAGCCCAGCAAGTGAAAGAGCTAATGAAACACAGTCCTGTTTGTTCTGAGGCTGCAGTTTTGTGCTTTTGCTGTTTCCTTTGTGCTTAAATCACACACTTTTTTTTTTCCTTCAATCACTTCGAGTTATAACCTTTATATTTTCCAAATACATAATTTAGCATATCTTAGCAGTTAAATCAGGTAGTTAGTGTCAGCAATACCTTGTTCTTACCTAGATGTTTTTTCATCTTCCAGTGCATAATATATATTCTCATCATATCTGTTGAAGTGAGGATGGAACAAGTTTGATGTTTTACGCTTGTGTAAATGGCCACTCAAGAAATTTGTAGCACATCATGTGGTTTAACCTGAATGTCCCAAATTTTACATTTCTAATAAGTAATTCTCGTCTTCAGTCTCTCATGCCCCACAAAGGTCTTTTCCAAACTAACCTATTCTATGTTTGCTTCCTTGCTTTCCTCCTTCCTTTCTTTCCTTTCTACTTCCCCAATTGAAATAATTAAAATTATAAACTGAGGAATTCAGTATGCTTCATTCTAGTGCTTTCAAAAGTTTGGAGGCACAGAACTCAACCTTACAGGAAGACAAGAAAAAAACAGGGAATCTTTATCAACATTGCCAGAATGTTAATGATCAATTTCCAGGGTTTGAATAAAAAATGAAAACAAAACTTTATTAAGAAGCAATCAGATAGGCTGATGGTCACCTGTAGACCCATCTGACATATTGCTGGCTAGCCAACAATGAAACACAACGATCTTTACTAGTGGATCTTAAAGTTTGTTTGCATCACTATTTCCAGAGAAGAGACTGAGTTGTAAGGACTGATGTGACTTGTCTGGAAGTCAAGAAGGGAATCCAGGCCTCTTGCCTCTCCTGTAATAAGTCACGTGCCTGTTAAGCAGCTCCTATTTACTTCTCAGCTTGTATACTGGTTTTTATTGGAATGAGATATTGATTGTGCTTTTTAATTGTTTGAAGTGTATACTTAGTAGCAATGCTGGCATTAAAAGCAGACTTTGTTTTGCTCAGAAAATCCATATAACATACAATAATTGCAGTTCCTTCTTTAATACTGTTGCGTATGTGAGAGGACCAGAGTGACACTTCTTTTTGCACTTGCATTTCTCTCTCACTTTCCCTGTGAGGTATCCCATTCTTTCCCATTTCACCCTCCTGATCTAATCGGTTTGTGACTCAGTTTAGCACTTGGTGCTCTGGGCAGGGATTCACTGTGGGGCTGTTTTCTTTAGGCCACTGATTTGCTGATGTGTTGACTGTGGGGCTGATGGAACCTCTGACACAAACCCCGGTGTCATCACTTACATCCCTTACCCCTGAGCTTCATTTGCCCCTCACAGAAAGCATTTGATGATATAATATGGGGGGCTTAGCTGGCTTTCTGTTGTTTTTTGTTACATTCCTCCCACATACCACTTTATCTGTAGGGAAAAGTTCTTTTCCTGTTCTGGTTTTTGCTGTCCAGGACAGGTAGAGGTGTCATATTCTGCCTCAGTAAATGTTAATATCAATGTCTCTGATTTGGGCTTGAGTAAAAAACAGGATTTACTGCCTTTTGAGGAACTGTTTACTGGAGGAAAGGGCAGTGGAAACACTTGGAGAACTGGCTGGAATTCCTGCTTTTCAACAGTGGGAAACTGAGTAACTCCAAGCAGATAAATCAGCTTTCAGGGAAACTTGGCTAAGAGTTTGTGTTTTTATTATTTTTAGGTTGTACTGAATGGTTACTTTATATAGATTTTGAGTTTCA